CCTGCTTTCTCAGTTTTTCTGTGCCATCATGAGCAAGTCATTTCCTGCCTCCCCTCCCCTTTCTGCGAGGAAGGGGAGTAAGTGCTGCTATTTTGAGAGCAAAATAATGGCATGTTTGAATTGCCTGAAATGTAAAGCTGCATATGTGCTCGGGTGATGAATACTTGCCCACCTTCCTCGCTTGGATCGCCGCCTTCTCAATGCTTTTTCCCCTTTTGATGCACAGGGAAGGATTTGCAAAGGGGCTCGGTGCAGGATGCGGAGGCCTCAGTCGAGCCGTGATTACGGGGTGATGGGACCTGTGATTTCCCTGGTGTGGGCTCTGGGAACTGCTCTTTACTTGGTCTCTCAATCTGATTAAGCCACTTGTTGCACCTCGCAGCAGTTTGCGAGAACGCCACGTTTGATACGTTTGTTGTCTGGTTTTTGCTATTTATTGAGGCTCTCGTCCCACAGTGCCCTGACCTTTCTCGGTGCTGGTAGGCAGCGCATGGGTAAGCAGGGTTTAATGTATCTACTCGCTTAGTTGAAGAAGCTTTGCTTTCCCCAGGAATAGAAAACATCATAGCAAGGGTCGGGCAAACAGATTTGTGCTTGGACTGGCAGGTTTTCCTGCCATCTGATGTGTCCGTCTGCGCGCTTCCATCCCGCTCCTGACACACTTCGTTTGGCAGGCCCGTGCTGACACCCCGTTGGCACCTGCATCATCCCGGGCTTGGGCACGTCTTCCAGCTGCAGCAGCGGGACGCACGGGTGCAGAACACCCAACGTGCACGTGAAAAAGGCGTTATTTTAACCGCCTGATCTAGAGAAGGGTCTGGGTTTGCCCATTTGCCTTTTGAAAGTGCAAAGCCAGTGGTGTGTTAGGACTGCGTAATAAAATGGAAATGCTCATTAATTAATGGAGGTAAAGACCTTTGGAGATTAAAAAGAAGTACATAACGTTGCTTTAATTTGTTTAGCCTCCCTCTTCCCCATCATCACAAATCCAGCGATACGATGAGTATATGTGGAAAGTAGAGAGTAGTTTCAATATTAATGCCTAACCTTTGGGCTCTTCTACAGACCGAGTCAACAAACGTGGCTGCTGCTGCACTCTGTCTGATCCAGCAAGCGACACATCATCGCTTAGAATGTAATGAGTGTTATTATGACCTTGCTTAAATATTTCCCAAAGAAATTTGTTCCGCTTTCCTATCTCGCAGTAACAAATCCATCGGCAGACAGACACACTCTGCTTCTGAATGGATATACTGCATTAGTAAAATTATTGTAAGACATGATTAATAGTCTTGTGACAAAGTTACACGTGGAGGGGGAAGACACATGCTGCTTTCATGATTTTGCCTTTAGAATTAGAAAGAAGTTTACGGAAAAAAAAAAAAAAAGGACAATACAAAGTCAAAGGGCTTTGCTTTAAAAAATACACCAAAACAAGCAATCTGTATGTGGATGAATTAACTGCCAGGCCAGCCTCTGTGTTCGGGGACAAAAGAACAAGAAACTGAAAACACGAGCTCGCCATTAAAAACAAATCCACACTAAACATCTTGTATTCATCCCACCGCTCCATCAATTCAAAAGTAGTCCTTGATGGACACTTGCAAATCACATTTTGCATTATAAATATTTCAGATTCCTTAAAATACTTCTGAAGTAAAATGTCAGAAGGCAGCTTTCTATGGAATTGCTAAATATAACACGAGTGCTGTAGGATACCAGACTGACAGCCTGCGCAGAGAGGTCCTCCGGTATTTTTCTGTTACCAAATAAAATTCATTCAAAAAAACCACCAAACCAGCTTAGCCAGAATCCCACCTGCTTCACTGCACAGAACAGACCGGAAAAGCAAACGGCTCTTAAGGAAATAATATTTTGCTTACCCAAGTCAGCACAAACAAAGCAACTCCTGCTCGCTGCCGCTCCGGCTTCGCTCCCGCTGTCTGCGGGGATTAGAGCCCGCCCGGGCGCTCACGGGCGGCGGGAGGAGGAGATGGCTGCGCCGGTGGTAACCAGGCAGCACTTCATGGAGAGGGAGATGCCACGAGCACGAGCGGGTGTGCGTGTGCGTGCGCGGCGCTGCCCGTACCGCCGGCGGGCACGGGGACGACCGGCTGCCGCCAGCAACGGCGCGCGGTGCACAGCACCGCACAGGTGGTGAAGTGTTCCTGGGTGGGATGCAAATATAATTTGCTTTCATGGAGCAAATGTCTTCTTGGTATGAAAAAATGCCTCGTTTTCTTTTGTGTGATGCTGGGGGGTCTGCGGGGCCGCACGGTGTGGAGCGGGATGAGGTTTCCCAGCCCTCGGCCCCGCAATGCTGGGGAGGTGATGCTCTCCATCATTTTTACAGGGCACAAAACCTGGGAGAAAAATCATTGCAGGAGGAATTAATCTCCAACACCAGGGTTTTGCACTATTTTAAACCCCACAATGGCTCTATTTCGACTTCCAAAGCCTCCATGTGTGTGCCTTCCCGAGAAGCACAGCACAGATGAATATAGGAA